TTGATAGCTACATTAATTACGTTAAAATTGCGTGGGCTAGCATAAAACTTTCTAAACTTCAAAAGATATTTAGTGCGCAAAAATGTGCTAGCAGAATTATATACAGAAAAAATAGAAACTTCAAATTCCTATTTTGGGAAGAAAAAAAAGATTTTGTTTTACAAAAGCGAAGTTAAATCACAATGAATATTTTTGAAATTCTATAAAACATGTCAACAACTAAATTAAAGTAAAAGCTCAAACCGCGGTAATTGACCTGGGTTTTTTTAGGTGAAAAATACAGAAATGATTGAAAATTTATGTTTTAAAAGAAAAAAAAACTGTGAACGCACACTAAAAAAAATGTAGAAACTTCTACATTTAGGGTAGGATATGTGATATACTCTAATAAGGTATAATTTTCAACCTTTTAAGGTAGCAAATTGTATGACAAATTATTGTTTTCAAAATGATTTTTTACCTTAAAAGGTAGAAAGTTACACCTTACTAAAGGTATAATACATATTCTACCTTTAGGTTGAAATTTCTGCCTCTATCTTCTACCTTTTTTTAGAGTTTTTTAGAGCACTGTTTTTTTTTTAGAGTACTGTTTTTAACGCCAAAGATGTTTAGCTAAAATCGAAGATAATAAATAAATAAATACATTGAAGAAAAAAAAAACAAGAAACAATGAAAATAAGTGTAGTAAAATAAAGGCTAGAACATATTCTGATAATAAACTATGTCAAGAAGTTAGAACAATATACTTTTTGATTTAAATCAATTTTATATTAAGTAAAGTAATCGTTATCTTGTATAACTTATAAATCTGTTATAAGAAACTTAAAAAAAAAAAATATATACTGGTAAGACTGTTTTGCTTGATGTTTAGCTGTAAACCAGCTAATTTGTAGAGTAAAACAAATTCTTGAATCTTAGCTATCTACTTAATTTCAAAATTTTAAAATGCTATTCATAAAACTATTGGTAAGGGATTGTTTTTGGTGCTGGTTATAAGGTTCATATTGCACACACCTGGGGCGCACAGAGGTCGGGGGATCTTGATCGGTTTCTGCGGGCATCGCTTTTATGGGGCATCATTAGAAGAAGAAAAATTATCAGTATGTCAAATAAAAAAATGAAAACATCCAATAAAGAAATGAAAGTTGTCACTTTGTTACCTTCATCCATCAGATTACAGAGAGATTTCAAGCTCTGAAACAGCAATGTACACTATTTTCCTTCATCTGGTCTATGGTTGACATTCTTTATCAAAATGATCTTAGTGAAGACAACTTTATTGATTAGTTCCAGCACTTTTCGTCTGTTCGGCGTTATCTACTAACAAATGATTGGCCTTTAGATCTTCTGAATAGCATTTATGCAAAGGGATTTGAAGGAAATTTCCCTAGATATGCATCTGTCTTTGTGTCTTTCTTATTTTACCAGTATCTGTGGCTGAAGGCAAGAGATTTTATCAAGTTAGCTCTCGTCAAGAACTCTCTAAAAGCTACCATGTATCGTCTAAACGACTAACTTATCCTTTCAATTGAAAAAGATCTTGCGAAGAAAGTTAATTCAATGTTGTAACTTCCAACTTTGATGCTAGAAAAGCTCGTAAAATCTTAGTATAATCAAGGACTACATAGTGCCTTATCACAAATAAAATAAGTTCAAATTGACAAACTTATAGACTCTATTCCTCATAGATGTATTAAGGTTATTGAAAACAATGGATATGCCATCAATTATTGATCTTATATGCTTTTGATGGCGTGTTACTGAATTATTTAAATTATTTGTATTCCTTTAAAGTACTTTTTGATAATTGCATTAAATTAATATGAGGAAAGGTTCAAAGTTCCTTTTGTTTTGGAGTTTAAAGCAATAGCTTTTTTTATTTTCTCCAGAGTTTTATTTGTATTGAGGTGTTTTAATATATTTAACTTACACAAAGTAGAACTTAGACTTTATTTTACTTAAATCAATACTTTTTTGTTTTAAAAATAAAATGGTAGTAGGCTAAACATTGTGTTTTCATAAACTTCAATATGTGTTCCCTTAGTTATTTTTTCATATTTTTTCTTTATCACCCGGTAATAAATTACAGGTAAAATAAATTATAATAAAATAGTCACCAATAAAATTAAAATCAGCTAAAACTACACGGTTCTTGCATTAAATGCTAAAACCAGCCGGTGTGTTTTTCAAAAGTTATTGGATCAGACTTCTCAGAACATATTCATTCACCCAATCATTAAACGACTCTTTCTTTTCTTTCAAATTCCAAAACTGGAACGTTTCTTTCAATATTGATACAACATCAGCTTGCAGGTCTTCGATAGGTTGCGTGATTTTAATTTTTTTGTCATTTTTCATGCACTGGACGATGTTTAAACCAAGTGTGTTGCAGGCTTCAAACACTTCATTTGTACAGAATTTTTTATTCTGTATTGACAGTAATTGATTGATTATCAGTGATAGCAAGTTTAATTTTCAACAGCCTGGTTTCAACAAAATAGTTGAAATATCCTCTTTTTTAAAAAAGAATGTAGGTAATTTTTACTGTACTTCGAGATACAGAAAAATGATTTTAAGACTGCTCTTCCAACAGCGTCTATTTTACTAAGAAAACTAATATCATATTTGCATAGCTCAAGAGCATAAATAAGCTTTGGCGCAATTAAGGTATTGTACTAATGGACTATTGTTTACGGCTGGCAGTAACGAACCAGACTGTCGATTAGAGCTATTGCAACCAATTGAAATTGAGATATACGCACATATAAATTTGTTTTTTGGAGTGTTGCAAATTTGTTTTTTGCTTGTATCGTTATCCCCTTGGAAACCCAGATGTTAAAGTTTATTTTGAAGGTATATAGAAGCTCTCTTAACTTTATTAACGTTGTTAGAAATATTGCTTTTTCTAGAAATCAGAAATTTGGTTTTCTCAGTGTTTAACTTGATAAAGTTTGCTACTCCGTATGTTTGAAATCTGTTAATCAGTTCTTGCAGACCAGAGATTGTAGGGCTTAGAAAAATTATATCATCTGCGTATGCAATTACACCAGTATAAATACCATTTATTTTTGATCCTACTTTCCATTTTGAGACTATTTCATTTAGGAGCTTTCAGTATAAATATTGTATTAATGCGGCGATAGAATAGACCCTTGTCACACCCCTTGTGGCAGAATGAATTGAATTAAGGTAACTTCTTGATAAGATATGTTTGCAGTACCATGAAGATAAAGCGATGATATTGTGTGTATTACAGACAGCGGAAGATTTTTTTGGAAATTGAGCTTTTCAAAAAGCAAATCCCAGTTGCAAGTATCAAAAGCTTTATTAGCATCTAAACTGCACATATATAAGGGCGTGTTATTGTTTTTATAGTGCTTAACAGTTTCGCTCAATAAAAATTCTGGGTGGAGTTTAGAGTTGTTTTAGCCTTTACATTCATTTCTGATTCTTACCCAATGATACTATCTACAATCTGATTTTATTATCATATAGATTCTTTTATCATAAATCGTCCAGTTACTTAGACCTGGAAGGTCTACGTAACTGGACTGCTCCGTTAGTCACATTTTGCGATTATTGCGTTGCTTAAACAATTATAAATATATTTTTTGTGGCTGGTGAGCCCCAATTTACACCACGACGACAAAATGGATATTAGGCTATCCCGCTGGATGCGTTTACGGCGCTCAATAACCTAATGACTATGCTGACACTAACACACGCGTTCATTATGAAGCTTCACAAAGCACGTCTGATCAATGCTCGCTGACTATGTGCTCGGATCTAAAATCTCACTTCACAGCACATCATTTCACACCAGTACGGGGTCGTAGTTTATTTAGCTAAGAGTGATGGCTTGTGGTTTACGGTGACTAATGTGCATTCGATCAATTGAAATTTATTCGGTGTATCTTACGTCTGGCTCTGATGTTTTAGCCCATAAGCGCAAGAAATGAGTGTTTAGCTTTCTATTCACCCGATTCGAAAGTATACAAAAACATAACAAGACCATACCACGACCGAACGTAACACACTAATACACTATACCATTACACCTGTAGACATGAACAGTCTTTAATATCAGTAAATCAATGATTTGTTCTTCATTGCATATGATCTACACAGAGTGACAAGAGCGTTAATTGTTTCTCCCCCTGAGCACCTATACTTCATTCTTCTACTTCACAAACGTCTTACAATTCATTTTAAATTTTCTTATGATTTCATTTATTCAACGATACTATCTACAATCTATTTTTATTATCACATCTCCCAGGTTTACATAATTGGACGGCACCGTTGGTCACCTACGTGCGATCATTGTGTCGCATAAACAATCATAAGAATAATGCTGAAACAATCAAAAACAGACAATTGAAAATACAACCATGTTTTATCTTTCTAGAAGTATGATTGTCATTTAAGTCTATTTATTTTTAGAACATTTTTATAGAAGCTAAATATGTTTAACAAGTTTTAAGAAACGAAATTGTTAATTACTATACCCTAAATCTTCAAAAAATCAAGTTTTCGTCGATTTATTTTAAAAATTTTCAAAATATTTTAATATATTTTATGTTTTAGTATGAATATATGGTAAAGTAGCTCAACGGAAGTCATGATTTTTTGGTAAACTAGCGCTTTTCTTGAATGTTCACACTTACGCCAACGCTTGCAAAAAAATTTTGTTGTTGTTGTTGTTTTGCCAGTTTTTGCAACTGTTTCGAGCTCATACCAGCGCCTGCAAAAATTTTCAGCCCACTTATGCCATTCCCACTTATAGAACTATTTTGCACTCACGTCAATTCGCACTTACTCAGCTTTCTTTTTAGTACGTAAAACCATTTACCACTTTAGTGTACTAGAAAAATAAAATCTAAATAACATTTACTGATAATAAAAAGTTTATTGTATTGGCAGCGTATTATAAAACTTTATTTCATTAATTGTACATCAACTTCAAAGTTTTTAATTTAAAAAACAATGCCATAATAAAATTTGTGTTTATGTATATATTTACTTACAAGTATAAATTCATTACAAAAATAATTAAATAAATATAGAAATATAATTGTAATTTTGAAAAGGTATTTACCGTTGCAACCATAATAGCAAGGTTTTCATAAAACTTGTTTTGTAAAAAGCATTCATAGAAAAGAACATCACTTTAAACGCAATTTAAAAGGCCGTCGTTAACGCAATTTAAAAGGCCGTCAGTTAACGCAATTTAAAAGGCCGTCGTTGCATAGACCTAAAATATATTACCAGTCTTTAATTATAGAAGATTTTACTTCAAATAATTGCTTCGGTGTTATAAGTTGCTGTTTACTGTGAGAGAAATGTGTAATATTTCGATAATTGAAATAAGATCATTTGATACTCATTGCTTTGATTAAAAAAATTATGCAGAACAGCCTAATACTTCGTTAGGTACTTACACCAAGCCGAGACGTTTTTCCAGATAAAAAGGTATGTAGAACAAATACTACAGGCTTGGGGCAACCACGTAAATCAAACTCCTAAATAAAAATAGCAATTAAGATAACAATATTATTTAGTAACTCGTACAATACAAAATATATAACAAATAACATTTAAAAGGCAGCAGGATATGAAGCAGATTGTACTGGGTTACATGTTACCAGTAGCAGGTGACCTGACAAAGAATTTTGTTTTTCATTTTAGTTACAATGGTAATTATACTTTTGAGAGAAAAAAAAAATTATAGTAATAAAATTAATTGTTCCCGATTAATTAATTTTCATATCCTGCTGCCTTTTAGTCCAGTTTGTATTATTAATATATTAAATTACACTAATTTTCAACATGTCTTGAGAAAAAACCTATTTATCACAAATTTTTTAATCAACTCGTAGGTATTATTTTTTTTTCAAGGTGGAGTTTATTGAACTATATGTAAAAGTATTTAAGAACAAACTTCATTCGTTTTTCTAAAACGTTTGCATTTGTTTATTAAGAGAAAACCTTATTTAAGAAATCTTTGCATAATTTTGCCTTATATTTTAGTAAAAATTGAAAATATTTATATTTTAGTAAAATTTTTAAATAAAAATTGATTTACAAAACTAATCTTATTTTAAAAAGCAAATTTGCTGAACCTGCTCTCCTTCGTCACCACCAAAATCCAACCATAATAGGCGCTTTCCATCATCTGAAGACATACGCAATTTTTCGTATGGATAACTCCAAATTAGGCTATTCTTGTTGGAGTCCATAAGAGTGAAACCATTTTCCCAATGTAAAGTTAGCCGACATTCTTGACCGCACCACGTTACAGCTGAACAAAAAAAAAAAATCAAACAAAGCTGGTCAATGTTTGTTAAAAAAGTACAAGATAAAATCTTACCGCAAATAATTTCTTTAATGAGTTTTGCAGCATGATGTGCCCCATTTACGAGAGCATGTGACCATGTAGCAAGTTCTTTTGGGCGTTCAACTCGAAAAAGATGTGATTCAACACCATGACTGGTACCAGTGCGAGTACTAAATGTTAATTCTGCACCATTAACAGAATTACTACCAGTAGCTCCGGAGTGAACTAGTCTAAATAAAATGTAATATCCACACAAAAATAACAACTTTAGCATTAACTAGAAGAAATTTTTTTAGTTAATTTAAATTAAACTTCAAGATTCCAGATTTGGAAATCACTAATTCGCTACTTTATAAACTTTACATTCTTGAACATTGTTAGCACAGATCCTAATAATGTCAACCTAGCTGACCTAAGAATGCCACTTATATAGGGTGATGGAAAACACATCAAGGTAAAATTCAGTAAGTCAAAGTAAGGTAAGAAAAAAAAAAAAACGTTATCTCATTCTTCTTTATCATCAGAATCCCCCTATCATTGTACATCATACAACTACCTTAAAGCTGACTGGGACTCTTTCCTTTCGCTCTTGACATTTCTAAAGAGTTTGATAAAGTTCGGCATGCTGTCCTCTTTAGCTGTTGATCCTATGAAAGTAAGAAGAGCAAGGGAAGCAATAATGGAGAGAGTAATAATGTCTGAAGAAAAGTTAATTGACAAAGAACCTATTAGAGGTTTGTTTATTAATGGAAAAAAAGGACAACTTTAGTGTTGGAACAGAATCCTCTAACGAATAAATTTCACATGAGGGCTATAAGAGAAGAACATTTAACTGTGACCTGTGAGCCTGATAGAAGATACCTTACTCATTACACACCACCTAAAGCTATACCACCAAGCAAACCAGCCAAAGAAGCCAAATTTGCTCTTTACAATTGGATGGTTTCAAGGGCAATCCATGAATCCTTAGAGGTCATAGGTGGAGATTCTACAAATTCCATGACAGGTTCAGGAAAAGATGGAGGTTTGCTGTCAAATCTGGAACAATTAGTAGGGAGAAAATTATTCTGGTCTATTTGTATGCTGTTTGTATGAATTACCATTTGTATGCTATTTGTATGAATTACCATTGAGGCACATAATTGTTGAACTGGATGGCCCAACTAATTCAAAGAATGGTTTTACTGGCCCTATTGTTAAAGCTTTATCTAAAGTCAATAGCATAAAAATACTTTAAAAAATAAAAAAAATGCTTGAACCTATAGAACAGCTGGAACCTTTAATTGAAATTCCCTAAAAAGTTTTTAAAACAATGTCGACAGACGCAGCTCTCTGTTATAAGTTGGTACGATGTTTGTCCACTGGCAAGATGGATATAAATCTTTATAAAGCAAAGTTTTCACACTTTTAATGGTGAGGTTCTTCAAAAGTTTCATTTAATCGTTAAATGGGTAGCTCAAGTATATTTCCACATGTGGTATGAAATCAAAGTAAAACAGTATTATAGATGACCCAGGTTACTTAGTAACACTGCTGCAACTGCTGAAAAAACAAGATAATGAAGTTTAAAATATTGCCACACAATAAATAAAGCCTATTTTGCCCACTCAGAATCCCTTGTTTTAACTCTTTTGTCAAGCTCAGATGAAGAATCAAGGAAGTTTGAGACACAGCTGTAAGGTCATGAAAAAAAGTTTTTCTCAATACAGAAACTTTGTCTATCAAAGAGCTAAAAGATTGGGAGAAGGAAAAAAAATCAGAACCACTGTTTACATGCTAAATCTCTACATACAATCTTGACAAATATCTGGTCACTCGGTTTGAAGCTCCGTACTTTCCTCTTCACATGCAATCTTGTGAAAGAGCAGTAAAAGAAGTTACAGAAACAGCACTTTCTGCATGTGGTTTTGAAAAAAGAGACGGTTTTGTGAGAGCACGAATGAATAACAGAAAAACTTTGCCCGAGCTTAAATCAAAAAAAAAATTATAGTAACCTTTTTTTAACAATACAGTAAACAAAAACATTTTTATGACTATATTATAACTTAACATTGTTTTAATGTTGTTAAGCTAAAAGATGTTGTTAGGCTGAACTATGAAGATGTCATTCAAAGTATGAAAATTTCTAATGAAAAAAATCTAATGAAAGTCCTAATTATTTAAAAAATTTATCATTTATTATATTTTAACTTTTTTTTTCAATCTTATAAGGCCCTTTTCCGCGCGAAAATTTATTTCTTCTAGAAAAAAAAAATTATTCACGTTTCACAGTATATGGTAATATATAAAAAAAAAATCTAAATAGTTTCATATTTTATTAATTTAAAAATTTTGAACCTTGTTGCATTTATGCATAAATGAACAACTTTACCTTTTCGAAAACTGCAATCCCACCTAGGTGACATTTTTTTTTTTTTTGAAAGTTAATAGTGGTACCATAGAAATTATCCGCCTAATTGATAATCAAAAATTTTAAAAATATGATGTACTCTAATGCATACTTGAATGGGTTTGAAGACCACAAATTATATTGCAACTTTCATACCACAAGTTAGAATTAGTTTAACTCCATTTGCATTAATAAGTAACCAGATATGTTCAATGTTGGAGTGAGTTTCTGGCAAATCTTCTGATACTACAAGTTTTTGTCTCTTAATTCCAGTGTTTTTGCCAGTTCTTTGAGTGAGAGGTTTTTGAGGCGGTGAGCTGGTATTGACCCCTAACCAAGTAATAACTAAACTTAGACAAAACTTAGACAAAAACCTTTACCACCATCAATTGCGAGTTTAACAAAATATCCGCCCGAAATTTTGCAAGGTTGAATAACATGACTCACAAAACTCAATAAATCATTGCAGTGAGCAACTACTCAAACCGTACCAGAATTTCCTTTTCTGTCTGTAATTGTAAAGTCACTGCAGGTGAAGTAATCACTCAAGTGATTACAGTAAAGTAATCACTTGAGTGATTACTTCACTGCTCTTAAGAAATTCTTATAAAAATTTGGCTCTACCATCTTGTTAATTGATGTTTGGTTTACAGTTCTGACCAGTTTCTTTAATCCATTGTTTGATAGTCTTGTACTTAATTGTACATTTACAAGTGCTAGAGTGGTCAATTTTGGAGCACTTGATAGTGACTAGGCACTATTTTGACCTCAAAGCAAAACATACATGTTTTATCTTTATATTAAATTTTGTTCAAAACTTTTAAATTATTTGTTTTTAAAGCGATTAGAAACTTGTTAAAAATATACTTCCTGAAATCATAAAATATACTTCCTGTGGCCATTGGTCAATTTATGATAAGTGCAAACTTGGTCATTTTGTAATGAGTATGCAGTTTTGTTATATTTTATTAGATTTTTGTTTGGTCAAACTATGGTTGCTGTAGTTTTAGAAAAAATAATTTATTTTTATGAAAAACAATTTATTTTCATAAAAATAAATAATTCATTATTACCCGATTTATGGCAAAAAATCAAATTTTTAAACTCTTCTCCTGCAATATGCCATATTTGCACTTATCATAAATTGATCAATGGCAACAAATGTGTAAAAACGATTAAGTATAAACAATTACCTGGGGTAATTGTGAGCGAAGGCCCGCCATATTCTCTAGGAAGTCAAATTCAGAACTATCCTCTTTCAGGGGATAATTCTTTTGCAAATAACTCGAGATGCTATTTGTTCGGCTCCTCTGGCATCTTTTGCTGCCAAAGATTGAAGGTTTTTTCCTGAACTTTATTTGAGAACATTGGTGGGGTAAACCTTTTCCTAAAGTTTGAGACATGTGTTGCAATGTACATTTGGTTCTTTCTCAATGGTGGTTAGCTCTTTAAGAGAATGTTTTTCTTGCAGCTTTGAAAGATTAAGCAATAACAAATTGTGCCTAATATTTCAGGTCTCACTTGCATTAAATTGAAATTAAACTAAGAGGTATAACTTCTTTCCCCACTTGTTAAATTGAAATTAAACTAAGAGGTTTAACTTCTTTCCCCTCTTGTTAAATTGAAATTAAACTAAGAGTATAACTTCTTTCCCCTCTTGTTTCCTGTGTAAAATAATAAAGGAATTTTTATTTTTTTTTTAAACATCTTCGCTTCAAACAAGGCTGCAAGCAACCACTAATTAGAGTTGGAAGTTACTGGAAGAGAAAAGATGAAGATTGTAGAGCAAGATAACGATTGACAGACGACTTAAAAGATTTTACAAAATTTAACCTGAATTTATATTGGATAACAATCCATGAACATACCTACAAATATTATTAATTAGTTTTGTTTTGACTATTAAATAATTTGACTGTCAACTAATTCAACTAATATATTTTCAACAAAATCAAGTCGATTAAAATTGAATAATAAACATTTTTGAAATTGGCTAAAAAATAAACTATTCCCATACTTCCACTAAATCGACTAAAAGCCGATTTAGTGGAAGTATGGGAATAGTTTATTTTTTTGAAATAAATTGTAATGAAAATAATGAAGCAACTTATATTTGCTTTATATTTTTTAACATCATATTTAAATAAAAATGGAGCTAAACAATATGTGAGAAGGGCAAGAAGGGCATTCCAACAATGGGGCAATCTATTCCCAGATCCCGTTAAGGGACTGCCTTAAATACTTAAAGCAATTGTTATAATAGTACATGTTATTGTTTATTAAATAAAAAAACAAAAATTAATGATTAAAAAGTCAAATAAAAAATGATTTTATGATTTTTAGTCGATTAGTAGGAAATCCATAGTCAATTAAATCGACTACTTGTTTTATCTTAGTCAACTAATTTCGACTCTCAATTAGTCAACTTTTAGTTGATTTAGTTGAAGTCGATAAAAACACTATTATCAATTACAATCAAATAAAATCAAGGAAATAAATACTTGAATTATGAGGATTTAACTCTTACATAACTCTTCCTTTAAAGAAAATAATCATTTAAATTAATGACACTTGTCATACTTATTGACAATTTAGATGAGATTTTATTTGATGACACATTCCTTCAAAAGATTTTTCCTGCTCTTCAAAGAACAATTCTCCCTTTCATAAAAATTTCATCTGAACTTTTTATTTGTAAATTATTTTAGTTATCTATTATTATTAGTGTATGTACTTTAAGGAATACCCTCATACCTAGTTTGATGTAGAACCCTTTGTATTTCTTAATGGTTGATTCATATTTATGTAAATTTTTAAAGTATGAACAAACTATGCACCTAAAATTTAAACATTTCAAAATAAATATAAATATAATATGTTCATTATTCATTATTAGTTGACCTTGAAAAATCTAAATACCTTGAAAATCTAATATGGCAGCAATGGTCAAGCATATCTTCATAACAAAGAGGTTCAGAGATTAAGTTATTTATACCTGCACCAAATACATTCCTGTTAATACCCCACTTAACTTGTTTTATTCTACAGAGGTCTTTTGTGCCAGGAATTATTGTTCATAGTCATGGTGAGGGTTGAAAAATGTTAAATTAAAATCTATAAAAATGAGTGCCTTCTTTAACTGGAGCAATGCTTTTATAATTCAATAAATAACATTGGTCATTGTAATTGAAATCATCATAACAATCATCTGAATTTCCACCAAAAACTTGAAAATAACTTTTTTTAACTTTTGGTGAATGCCCTGATGGTCGATTTTAAGAAAATTTTCAAGACATTGAAAACTAAGCACATTCCAGGACAATAATACAAAATCAACAAAAAAAAAATTAAAATTTTAAGCATTTTTTTAAGACAACATCAACATAAAAACTTTTAGCATTTTCTTAAGACAAAATCAAGTTAACACAAAATTGATATTTAAAAAAAATGTAGTTAAAGTTAATTTTCAAAATTTACTAAAAGCTCTAGCAAATCTTCATGAAATTTTTCACATAGATAAATCTCATCAATGTTTTCACATTGATACACCAACTCATTTAAGTTATAAGTTAAGTTTTACTAGCAGTAGAAATAATTGAAAAAACTTAAGAATTTCAAAAGAGACAAATGCCATAAGCAATTACATACATATTGTAATTTTTAATTGTATTTAATCTAATTTTAATCATATTTTAATTTTTAATTAATTGATATTTGGTTCCTACAAAATATACAATACATTTGTTGGATACAATATTGGATAAAATAATATTTAAAATTTAAGAAGTTTAAAATAAGTAGAAATTTGAAAATAGTGCAAGAGTTTTATAATGAGAATATCAAATTAAATTTTGGGACTTTAAAAACATTTAAATATAAGAATTAAAATCAGAATCAGCATTAAATCAGGACATTATCAATTACTCAAAAAAAGAAAAAGAAAATTTAAAGGTGAACTTAAGAAAAAAAAAAGTTCTTGGTAACAAAAGATCAATCAAACTAAACATCTTTAGAAACATTACCTTAAAATCAGATAAGAATTATCTAAAATAAAACTGCAAATTTAGTATGCTAAAAATTTAGAACTACTGCATGATTTAATTTTTTAAAAGTTTGAAATGTTTTTAAAAAATTAATTGTATAATAAGAAAATTATTTTAAGAATATAAAATGTTTCGAAATTTTATTCCAAACATCTTAATAAGATATATTTATCTTGATAATGTCTAAAAGAATTGATTAAGAGATTTGTTATGGAAATAATTTTTGATTTGAGCCTAATATTTCAACCAATTCTTTATTTTCTGAACCCATAAGTTTTCCTTATGTTTTTAACAATTTATTCAGAGTTGTTGGCAAAAAAAATCTTTAATATGTCTTTTAAAATAAATTGCCTGAGCAAGACATTGATTATATCAACATTATAAGTATAATGGCTATAAATAAAATCATGGATCTGCTTGTTGGCAAGACTTTTAAAAAAACCATTCAATTTCTATTTGTAAACATCAAGGATTGATTCAGCCGTTTTTGCACAATTCAAATTTTACACAATTTCACACAACTTCGCAAAATTCAATCACAAATTTCATACAATACAAATTTCACACATTTCAATCACAAATTTCACACAATTCAAATTTCCACACCTCAAACTAACAAAAATACAATAAATAATCAAGTTTTTTATTGACATAAATAAAAAACAAAATTCATAAGCTTTATGGTTTGCTTGTCTAATATAAGAGAGAAATGATTACATAATTTTTAAAAGAAACTTGTTTTTTTTCTCAAAACTGTCATGAATGATGTTCAGGCTAGAGGTTCCAATAACTAATTATGTTCCAAAAACAATTTATTAACTCATTTTTAAAACAAGTTTGAATATTACTTTACTAGCTTTGGTCCACAACTATTTTGAAGTATTTTACTAAACAACTTCACAGAAATGGTTGAACAATATTAAGTGTTTATCAGTATTTTAACAACTGTTTTAGGTTGTCCAACTTAATTTGACCTTTAAACAAAATTGTTTTATGTTGTCCTGGTTAATTTAACCTTTATAAAAAATTTGAAAATGAAATAGATTTAGGAGCATGTGAAAATATTTTTTATTATAAAAAAAATCAGATACTAAAATAAATAATATAACAATATAAAAATAATATAAAAATAAAATAAAATTTGGCGTACACTCAGTAACATGGGTAGGATTTTTTAATTTATTCATGATACTTTTATGCATTGTGCATACTATAATAAAATTGAATAGTATAATATAATTGAATAGTATAATAAAATCGCATACTATAATAAAATTGAAAGCATACTATAATAAAATTGAATTTATTGCCAGAATTAATCTTTTAGTTTTAAAAAAAATCTTTTAATGTAATAAAGTTATGACTGTGAAATTTTTACAACTTTACAAGTTACAACTTCCTAATTTTGCATTTAATTTATCTTTCAAATAACCCTAATATAACTTTACATTGTCATAAATTTTGATTATTAAAAAGATATTAAATAAAACTTGAAACTGTTGATGAATTTAAATTTAATATGAAATGCTAATATATATTTTATTACCTCATATCATATAATTTAAAATTTACAATTATTTTATTAAAAAAAGGTTCTTAAAAATAAAAAATGACCTTAACGATTTTTGTCAAAAGTACTTTATTTAAATATGAAATTATAATAATTTATTTTCATTAAAAACCGTTATTTTTTCTAAAATCTCTTAATAAAATTATCGATCTTTTTAGAATTTTATAGAGATTTCAGAAAGAATAACGATTTTAAATAAAAATACTTTGAATTTGAAAAAAAATGTCATTTTTAGGCTTTTACTATCTCTCAACCTTAAAGTTGTAACATAAACAAGTGCACTGCAAAAAGAAAAAAGTTGAACCTGGCACTATCAAGAATGTGCTTTGAAATCAAATATAGTTTTTTGCATAGAGCAAGTTATCAATATAATTATTACATGAGGCTGTAATAATATTAAGAAAGCTTACCTTGTAGCTAGAAGTGGATGGCTTATGTAGGGTTGTGACCAATCCTGAGATGACAATGGCACCATGTCATAAAGCAAAATATCTTTATCAGTAATTGCAGCAAATACAGGCTTCCATTCAGGTCGACTGCTTTCCGGCATTTGAACTTGTTCAGTTAACCATCCCATGATCCGAATTTCTTGATTTCCTGGCTGGTCCCGAAGAATTTTATTAGACTCATCTTTAGCTTAATGTAAAAATGAAAATATAAGAAATTATAAAGTATAAATAAGGGTAACCTATTTAAATCATCACATTAATAACAGGCATTAATGATAATTACAGATTAATGATAACAAAAATATTGTCAACTAAACATACTCAGCCATCTTTACCTAAGGTTCACATCTCACATACTATGACATGTAATTTGTATTGTAGATTTAAAGACAACTTTTATTGGAAAAAAAAAGTTATTGAAATTCATAAAAAAGGAAATAAACAATAATAACAACCAATAAAAATGCTTCAGTAACAAAAACAAATGACATATAGCAAGCCTTACTAAGAAGGGCATGCGTTCTCACGCCTTGTTCATCCACATTCAAACTAATTTTTTTTAGACAAACTGACCACGGCAGTTTGTCTAAAAAAAATAAGTTTAAATTCTTTCAACTTAAATAGTGTTTCAATAACTCGCAGCAAAAAGCTTAACTTATCTACTGAGAAAAAAAAAAGCAACCCTAAAAAAAGGAAACAAAATTGTATCGAAATATCAAGTTTAATTAAATAAAATAAAAAAATTAATAATTAAAAAAAGTAAATAAAATTTTAAAACTTTTTTATACTTTTTGTAAAGCTGTTATTGAAAAAAAACATCTTTTATAACGATTTAACAACAATTGAAAGTTTTAATATACACAATTTATTCACAATTTTTATCAGCCCATATAATTAAGAAACTTATTTGCTATATACGCTAGAACTATGAGAAACTTTGTTAATTTTTTTCTTGCGTTTATTCGTTTTGCACGTCTTTTCGCTTTTAAAAATGTTTTAGCTATATTTGACATTTTTTTCCTAATTCTTATATAATAGGAAAATAAGAAAATATATTTTCATTTATTTGTAAAATATATTATTTGATTAATGAATTTTGTGAATATAGAATAAGTTATTTAAAATAACAACATGGTTTCTTTAATAAATGCATTAGCCCCATTGATGCATGTCAGAAATTCTTTCTTTTATAATGCTCAATTTTCAATTTTATTACGAATTACTAGAGATAATGAACATAATGATTGCTCTGTTTAAAAAAATGTATTTAACACTTAAAAAAAAGTTTTAAATAGACTCCAAAACAATTCTTTAAAAAAGTTCAGTAAATTAACAATGCACTAGCCCACAAGCTTTTGCAGCACAATAACAATAGTTCATCAGGAAATAAACTATTGGGTTTAAATGCGCAATTTGGAGAATCCTAAAAAAATGCAGACTATTTAAATAGGGGTATTGAAAACAACCAAATATTTTATATTTAAATATTAGTATTAATGACTTTTTATAATTTTACACAAAAAAATAGTTAAAAAATATTTTTTAAACAAATAACAATTAGTTTTCTTGCTTTCCTGTGCATTGATAAAAACAGTAAAGTTTAACAAAAACATTTGAAAAACAAATTTAAAAATTGTCCATGCTTCTAGCACAAATTATAAAGTATTTCCTTTTATACTGACTGGAAAAAGTTGCAAAAAAAAATTGTTTATCAAAAAATATTTTTATTTTCATTAAATAATAATCTACTTTTTTCCTTGACTTGTATCAACTTTGGTAGTGGAAAATAAAAAGTGTCCCAAAAATAAGAAATCATAAACAGTAAAATATTTAGATATAAATTTTTTTTTTGAAAACAATTTTCTTTTTTAAATATTTAATTTGTTTAGCTTATTTTATTTAGATTTTCTATTTTGTATAGCTTCTTTGTTTTTTTTTCTTCGAGTACTGCTGTTTTATTCTCTCTAGTTTTTTTTAGCTTAATTTTGCTGCAAATTCTTAAACCACTTACTTTATAAAAACATGATCAAGTTGTAAAAAAAATTAGAGTAAGCGTGGAAGAACAAGGCATGCAACTGCACACGCTTCCCGGGAAGGCTGTACAGCAATATAATTTTAAAAAATGTTTGGAAAAATAATTTTTGCTTTCACAACAAAATAGTTATTAAAAAATAAACTTTTAATAAATAAAGGAAACAAATAAACAAAATTTTTTAATTTGTTATTCATTTGTAGTTGCAAAGCCGCAATAAGAAATTTAAGAAATTATTATTTAAAAATTCAAAAATTTAACATATTTTAATTTATTTATGCAAATGTCAAGAAAAGAAAAAAATTTGTTAAAATAAAACATTTTTAAAAATGTGATATTAAATTTAATTATTTAATATTAAAAAAAGTGAAAAGAAAATAAACATTCCCTTATAGTAATAATAGTTAGAATAATAACAGAAGTTAAATAACATTAACTCATTCTGCAGTAATTAATATTATTGCAAAAAGTTAATGTCTTTCAAAAATAAAAAAATAAACAGAATTTTATGACATCAAATAAAGTGTATATGGATCATTCCTATGTACAGGGAATCAAACTGTTTTTAATTCTTGTAGATTCCTTTTCTGGATGCCCTGAAGTTATTTAAGTAAATAATTGCGAAGCTGCTACAATGAAGGCAACACTACAAAGTTTTTTTTTCGAGAAACAGAGTTTAAGAAGTTTTAGTTTCAGATAATTCTGCAGAATTTCATGAAACCGCTTTATACAAGTGGCTAAACAAGAATGGTAGAGACAGTCAAAATGTGTTTAAAAGCTTACTAACTGGATAGTTACAGAACAACACTGCAAACCATGTTGAGAAATAACTCTTTAGGCACATTAACACACTGTAACCAAATAAACAAACACCTAACTGAGCCTAGTATAATTATGAATAATGAACACAGTATACATTATGACCCATCAATAATGAGAAATTAACTCCTATCAATAAATAATGATAAATCTGATATGTCCAAACAACTTGTAAGCGAAGAAGAGCGTACCCAGAATCAAAGAAGTACATGATCGACAAAGGAGCAAAAGCCAATACGTTTTAGGGATGTAAACTTGTGAAAATTTGTTATTTGCAGACAAACAGTAACAGTGCTTTTATATATGTGGCGATTGTATATAATGAATATATAAAAATGGCTTACATATAAAAGATTTTATAAATTGTTATTTTTGTTTAGTTGGGAGTGAATTAGATTTTTTTAAATATTACTATAAATATTAAAAGAACGTTTTTTTACCACACATTTGTCAAAATATAAAACTGATATAAAATTAAAATTTAAAGATTTAATTTTTTCTTTATTATTTGCTTATATAATTTTTTTTAGAATTAATGAAAAAATATTTTATCACGGCCTGATCTGCTTCAAAACCAATATCTTTATAATTGAGAGCAAAGTTACAAAGAAACAAGCTCTGCCTTCTGTGCTTAGTGAAAGTTTATTTAGTACCAGGGGAAATTTCCCCTATACTAAATAAAATTCCCCTGAGTCAGCATGGTCTAAACAAATTTTGGAGCACAAAGAATATTTAGCTTTTACCAGAAACAATAATGAAAAAACTTTTAAATTTTGTTTAGTGAATACATTGTTTATATTGATGTGTATTTTTATTGTTATATTTATATGTCATATATTTTTGTGTATGCATTTAATGCATTTTTTACTTTTATTAAACTTAGTTTTATGTATAAAAAGTGTTTTTCTGTTTATGTTTTCTTTGTTTATTTATTATACTTACAATATATTTTTGTTATTATATTATAAAAACTAAAATTATTATATTTATCGAGTCTTTGTATTCTTTTATCGATAATTGTTTTTATGTCATTGTTATTAGTTACGTTTTGTCAGTTTATTACTGTTTGTAACTGTAACTATGTATATATAATTGATTGTTGTATGGAAGATTGTATTGATTTAATTCTTTGAGTTTTTATAATTTTTGTTGACGTATTTAATAAACAGCCTTCTATTAAATATTTATTTAACAATTCCGTTATATATGTATTGTATTTATTATTATCATGTTTTTATTTTATTCATTATTATTGGGTGTTAATTATACTTACTGGTAATATTATTATTGTTATTCTTATTATAATACAATTAATTACTTTTATTATTGTTGTTTTGTTAATTTATTGCTATTTTTATTATAACTATAACTATGTGTCTATAATATGTTTTATATCATCAAAGAGGTTTTTACTTTATATTAGTTTTTATAACTATTTGTAATGACTGTGGAAGTTAGATCTTTTTTCCAAAATATATAATTGATTGATTGATTTTATCAATGTTAATTTGAAATGTTTCAGAGAAAAGGATATAAAAGACTTAAAACGTGTTATTTATACAATAATACATTTGAATACTTTCTATTGCAATGTTTAAAATTTATATTTATTTTTGATAAAATGCATGTTTTAGTGTATTTTTTATTTTTTAATTATTTTTCACATTAATTTATTATATAGACCTATATAATAATTTAGACTTATTGTATTGAAGTTATTTATGACTTTATTTTATGTTTGTATACAAAACAGAAATATAAAGTAACAAAAATAACACTCTGAGGCCAGTCTCAATGCATCAGCTAAATGATTAACACATTGTCGCACTCTATTGGAAACTTTTTAATATCACCCTTAATTATTTGTAATAACACTATATTATTACAAATAATTAAAAAAAAAAAGATTGAACAATGAATAAAAAATGAGTAAAATAGTCGCAACACTATTTAAGCAACTGTAAACAACACATAGATTATACTAGTCATATTTTAAAAATCCGGAAAATGGTTTGGAAAAAACATCCGGAAAAAAATCGGGAATTTGTTTTTCCTTATTTTCTTTTAATTTCGCTTTTAGTTAAGTTATTTCTAATTTTTTTTTGTTACTTTTCATAATTTTTTTTTTAAGTGATGAGTAAAAAAGCTTAAAAAATAAATATATAACAAAAATATATACCTCAACTTGCATGTATTGAAAATATTTTGGATATCCGGAAAAACTAAAAGTTGAAAAAAATATCCGGAATTCCGGAAATATCCGCAAAAAAGATAATCCCTGACAACATGTTGAAAAATTATTGGGCTTAAATTAAGAGGTTAAATAAAGTTATCATAAAAAAATAATAAAAAAGGCAGGTAGAGAAATACACAAGCATCTATCAGTAAATAAATAGAAATATAATTTCTTTTTTAACTACTGCTTTAGCATTCATATTGTATATAAGTGTATATACATATCATAGGGTATGTAATCATACAGTTAGACAGCCAAAAATAATTTTTTAACCAAAACTTTAAGCCAAACCAAAACCAAACCCAGGGTTTGGTTAAGGTATGGTTTTCAACAATGCTTGTTTTGTTTGACTTTTTTACGGTCTTACTATAGGAGGGTGCCTGAAATACATACCCATTACTTAACCCATAAAGTATATTTATAGGGTATTTAAGCAAAAATATCATAGAAATTTGAACAAATTAACATTAAAATTTTTTCTAAATACCTATTAGTGTTTGATTTGCTATTGATGAATGAACAGAGTTAAACCAAAGATTTACTGTTGCAATATCTTTACTTTGAAGAATAGCAGCTGATCTCCCATCAGGAGTATATATTTCAAAGCCATTGTTTTCAACTCCTAATAGTCTTACATACTTTGTCACATAGCAAAATTTTAATGGTATACGTTTAAATTCCACATACGATTTTGTGACATTGGTGTGTTCTTTTCCATTAGTATTTTGATTTTGTTGTTCGCCCCAACTAGATTGCGAATAAGTTCGTTTAAAAAAAGGTGTAACTTCTTTTAAGTATTTCACAGTTAATTCTACTTCTCTTCCAGCTTTTTTAAGAGCTTGCACAGCCTCATCGTGGGTTGCATTCCTTAAATCTTCTCCATTAACAGCTAAAATCGCATCACCAACATATAAACTGTCTGTCTGGTAAGCAGCTAACCCCTGAAATATTTTTGAAATTAAAATAGGCATTTTATTTTCTTTACCCCCCTTAATGCTTATTCCAAGACCACCAACTTCTTGCTTAACGACTCGAACAACGCGGACAATATTAGCAATATGATCAGGAACTTCAACATCACTGCTGTTACTAGACTCTGAAATTTTTTCTGATTTATGAGGATCTTTTGGACTGGGTGGTAATACTCCATTTATTGCTATATTTTCTTCTATATTTAAAATAAGGCAGTCGTCTTCCAAGCAAACAACTACTTGTCGCCATTTTCCTTCGTGATAAACATCCATTACGGCATTTTTTAAGCCATCACCGGCTGCCATCTTGATCTAAATTACGGCTTGACAAAACTCTGTAAATAAAAAAAATGAACCTTATTCCCATAATGCAACTATATTCACTGCCTAATAAACTTAATAATTTTAATGTAAATATACATCCAATTTTTCTTTAAAAATTTTACAAGTAAGCATAAAAATGAGGATTTCTTAAATTAAAAAAAAAAAAGTTATTGAGACAGGAATTTCATAAAACAATAACTAAAATAATGTGTTAAATGGGCGGAGGAGTATCTTTATTTAAGTGTTTCGATTGTTTTATAAATGTAGCGGATATAAAAATTGTTTCCTTAAGGCTAATAACACATTCTTTAATTCTTATCTCGCTTAAACTTGTTTGTATAAAAAACACAGTTTACAATATGTATGAACATAAACATAGGCGTTTTTTTGCATAAACCAGTGATTTCAAATTCATGTCATTTTTGTCGTTATTATGAGTATTATCTTTAATTTCCAGAGTCGGCGACGCGGGAAACTGTTTAGTCAAGCTCTAAATATTTTTAAAATTTTATTTTTAAACAGTGGATGGGGAATAAAGGGGTGTAGGTGGAGAGATATTTGGCATTTTTTTATTCTCAATTAGAAAGGTTACGCAGTTTCGTAAAAACTTATTTTTGTCTGCATTCTGTTTTATTTGAATTTTTTTTTTTATTCTGCAGAAACTGATAACATTCTTTTTTTAATATAAACTTATTTTAAATTAAAGTATCCAAAAATGTTTGTAACGCATAGCGGTTTCTTGATGACAAAACTATTGGTCTTCTGCAAGTGTCCCGCGTTCTTTAAAGTAATTTCTAATAGGGAAAAGGCGCCTATGCCATCATAGGCATACTTAACTTTGAAGCTTCATTATTCAGTATTCTGGAGACGAAGGACAAAAGTTTTGATATGGATACATTCTTTGTTACACGTAGAACTATAGTAACCCATGGAGTTTTTATCAGTTTTATTTTTTTATTAGTCATTTTTATTTTTTAAAAAAAAAGCACAAGTATGCCATCATAGGCAACTACTCCTCCAATGACGGCATAGGTGAGGATGGGGCTGGTTAGCATCAAGTGTAACTTGACGATTTCATTTGACCTTAGAGGCTTTCCTCAGAAATTCCAGAAATTACAAATAATCTTCCTAAATAACTCTTTCGTGCTGAACAGAAGCAGTATAGAATTTCGCGCATGCGCATAAAAGATATTGCGTTATGTCTTTTTGAACCAAAAATTTTTCACTGAAGTAAAAATTCTTTTTTACTTCCACTAACAAATATGTTGCTTTTATGAAAAAAAAAAAAGTTTTCTTAATTTGTCAATATTGCATCAGTGTACCATCATTAGGAAGAAGTCATCACTTTAATTTAAAGTGGTCATCTCTTTAATTCTGCCTTGTTTAAAAGATATAATTAAAATAAGTATTCCACTAAATGCACAAAACTTGGAAATAAAATGCATAAATATTTCATTTCTGTAGAGTTAGTAATATAACCACAATCTTAAATATTAAAAGGGATTAAAAATGCAACAGCACACCCGAAAATCGACTTTTGTTGATTATAATAGGAATATTTGTGTATAAGAGAAGTATTTTTATTAAAACTAATGTAAAGTCAGTATAGACATGTTGGTCTAATCACTTTTTCACAGTAACCAATATTTATGAAAATATGACCGGTATGCCATCATTAGCGGTATGCCACCATAGGCGCTTTTCTCCTACTTTACAGTTTTATTTTATATATTTTTTGTATAACGTAACTTTGTGATTATTTTTTTTTAATTTTACTATACTTTGTAAACGATTCTATTGTATTTTACAAATTTCTAAAGATTATAGAACAAAAAAAAATAAAAAAACAACAACAGAAAAACAACCATATTGACAGGATGGACAAATGCCAGTGGCTTTAGCTACAAATAGCTCTAGATACTTTCACGGTAAGTTTTACTTACCCTGAAAAAACCCTTACAGAAGAGTTTTAATAACAATTCAAAGCAAAAGAATGAAAACTTGATTTTTCATTGCAATTTAATTGTTTTTTTAGTCAAAATTTGAACTTTTTGTTAAATAAACTAGCGTATAAAAGTGTTAAACTTGAAATTTTAAATAAATTTATTTTCAAAAAATTTTTGTTTTAAAATAAATAAAAAAAAGTTGATTGGACTTTTTCGCTGTCAGTCGCTGAGCACAACTTTTAACTTCCTGATTTTATTAATAATTTATTGTAATAAACCGGAACCAAAAATGTTTATACAATCCTACCTATGCAAATAATATATAACACTAATACAGGAAAAAGATATTCACTAAATGAAATAACATGGGAATGCATATGTTTAGTCAACTCAAAAGAGCAGCCAAAGTGCAGTGGTTAGCGCGCTTGTCGCAGAAGCAAAGAGATGGTTCAAAAGATGGTTCAACGCCACCTCTGGGCATATAGTTTCGGCAAGGAATGAAGCGTTAACTTCTTTCAAATGCTCTAGATACTTTCTGAAGAATATTCATCGATTTTTTATGCATACATTAGAATGTATGCAGTATGTAGTGCAGATTCATTAAATAATGGCATACCAAGGAATACACTATTGTCACCTATTTTGGTTAGGTCATCTTAAGTAATTTTAAGCATACATTTGTCATGTTTAAATTTGTTTGCTTTCATTAAAAGATATAAAGTTTCAAAAGTTGATTTTGCTTAGTAACCTAGTAGTTATGGTTACTACTTAGGTTATGGTTACTACTGAATACATTTGAGTTTATATAGTGCGTAGCAAATGTATAATTTTTTTTTTATTATTATTACATGCATGCATAAATGCACGTTTGCATAATAAAAATTTATTTCGTTTATGTTCACTATTACCATGTTTTTTGCTGTAAATAATGCTACAATCATGTTTTTGTAAATCAAAGACGTTTCAATTTTGTTCATGTAATATTTGTATAGATAACAATGAAATAAGCAGAATTAAATAAGTTCTTAACTTGTTGAATTTATAATTTTGATGGTTTTACCAATTTTTATTAACCAATGGTTTTACTAATTTTTATTGAATATTTTGTGTTTTGGTCATGATAGATAATCCTCAAGAAGAACTCCAGAATATTTAAATTTGTTTATTAATTAAAAGTGCTTAATTAAATTTGTTTATTAATTAAAAGTTTAAGAGGAATGTTTTTTTCGTGCGTTTCTTAATGAACCAAAGTATATTTTGTTTTCTCAACGTTTAGAGAAAGTTTGTTAGATCTGAAACAATAATTTTACTTCGAAATTCACATATAATTAACTTATATTGCTAATAGAAAAAATAAAAAATAAAAATAATTGCACCGTCTATTGTATTACTATTAGACAAAAAGACATAAAAAGTCTATTGTATTGCTAGTAAGTAAAAGAAGATTTGTATCGTCTGCAAGCATGATGTAATTAAGTTTCAGTGATACATTATTAAAATCATTTAGACAGATTAAAAATAAAAACGGACCTAGGGTTGATTATCGAGGTACACAAAATATTCAATATACCAAATTTTTTATTTTGCCCATTAATTTTTATTGAGATAATAAATTAGCTTTTAATGCATAATATTCTTAATTAATTACCCTATTTTAGCTTTTTTAAGAAAATCCAGTGATCAACGGTGTCAATATATTTTCATATGTCATATTTTCATATGTTAAAGTTCCTTTGTCTAATTAAATTTTATAAAAATTTTAGCCAAAATTCCAGAATTTACTATTGAAAATCTGAATTAAATAGAGCAGAATACGTTTTTCCTCCAAAAACTTTCAAAATCGAATCTTGGAGAATATTAGCTAGTCGTCAATTCGACAAGTTTATTTATTGGAATGTTCAGCCAATCTTGAGAAATGTCATCCAAATGATTATCAAAGTCAATAAGACTTTGAAATGTTTTGCCAATGATAAGCTCTGATACTAATGCCAAAGTCACATCTCCTCCAACAAGTTGCCTAAAAAGCAATATGATCTAAAAATTATTAACATTTATAGTCTTTTGATAATCATAATAACAAGTAAGATAATGCATATCATCGCGCAGAATATATCGTATATAATAAATAGATAGCTTATTTTTATAAACAAACATTTTTTTAAAACATAATAGTTTTAATATATTGATATTTGCCATCAAATTTTTTTCTAAGTAAATCATTGTTAAAAATCACTAAGGTTAAAATTTTATCAATCTTGCTAATCTTTTTTTTCACACGTAATTGTCAATTGATAGATTTATTATATAATTACTTCCTATATTGATTTAGTAATAAATAATGTGCACCTACGCAGAGGGATGTAGGGGGAGGGGGTTGTTGAAAGCATACAGGTGCGTACAAAAGAGAAAGGGTGCTAAATCAACGGTTTTACTGCATACGTACTATATAAATGATATAATCATGTCATAGTTAAAATACTAGTCGTTTCATAGTTAACATGCAGGTTAACATAAATATGCAATAATAAAGTATTATAAATGTATTAGTTTTCAAATACATACAAGACTTTTTTTATCTAAATACATGCTTTTATGATGCATTACATGTTCAAAAAGTCAAAGTTGTCAGCACCTTATTTAACAACGGAAGCAGTATTATGCTTCAGTATTATGATTTAGCTCAAATGCTAATCTTCATTACCGCCAATGGGTACATTATGGTGTAAAAATAAAACTCACATCAACTGAAAAACCTTCAGTTAATGTTGGGTTTTTTAGGTATAATAACAATTTTTTAACTTCAATTGTTAATAAAAAATTAATTTGTTGCAACGCTCTAATAGCGAAAAAACGTAAAAGAGAATTAAACAATGAAAAGTTTAAAATCTTAAACTTTTTGCTTTGCTTTCCTACTGCTGTTTACATAGTACAGCGCATATGCCATAAATAATATGCAATCAGCAAAACAAGTATGTAGAGCTAAGCAAACACTTTACAAGAATAAGCAAAGTAGTTTTGTAGAGATAAATAAACATTCCGTAAGAATAGTTACAGTTATTTGTACCGTTGATATTTTAATCAAACATATTTTACAAATTGTATATACTTAAACAATGTTAAAATATATAATATATATATATGTATATATATATATATATATATATATATATATATATATATATATATATATATATATATATATATATATATATATATATTCAAAGTAAACATGATTCGTTTCTTCCCATAAAACAAACATCACGAGTTGCAGATATTGATACTCCACCAAAATCTACTATTCCATCCATACCCATCAAAAAACAATAACCAAGTGGTTTGAAGTGAACTACAAGTGTTTCAACAAAAACTTCATTCCCATTTAGCGTGACGACTCGAGTTCGGCTAACGCCTTCGCACTGTTGTTGTTGTCCATTTACAGTACCATGCTAATTACTTTCTTCGTAATTTTTGGCGCACATTGTTTATAAATGATACAGCAGGTACATCCAGAATCAATCAACACATCGCGAAGAACGCCGTTAATGTCCAAGCGTATAGTAGGTAACGCCATTATTAATCGTTTGGGGAGAAAGCTGGCGCAAACATCTTCTCCCTCGGCACGTTTTTTGGGCACATTCTTGATATGTGTCCTTTCTCTTGACACGAGTAACACAAAACATCGCTTGTGTTCCGTCTCCGACCCAACTTGCTTCGATTGCTATGTCTTCGTAGATGACAATCTCTTGCAAAATGATTGGGGAGTTTACATATATGTATAAGTATATTGTATAGTAGTAAGATCATCCATACGAGAACTTGATCTCAGCATCCATCAAACTTCCTCAGGAAGCCCAGAAACGAAGGCACATGTAGTAGCTCTGTCTGGTAACCCCCCAATCAGCGTAGAACTCCACAGTTCCACCAAATAAACATCAACTGCCTCTCCATGCTTTAACTTTCTTATAACGAATTGTTCGTAAGCTGTAAATGCATCAACGGCAAAGGCTTTTAGCAACGCCTCTTTTATCCGGTCAAAATCTTCTTTATCACTTTCTGCTAACTGTTGATATACTGCAAATGCACCATTTGTGAGACGGAGGGGAACAACATTCGCCAGATCGGTTACACCAATTAGTTTGCATACTAGTTCCACTTTTTCCAGCCATTCTGCAACTGATTGTTGATCGTTTCCACTAAACTCTGGAATTAACTTTAAATCAATTTTAGTCGACATTTTTTGCCGAAATAGCTTGTTGTTTCACATCAAAATCGACTTTATAAGTTTAGCGTTTAACGCCTCATATTTTCTAATTCAACTCAACATAAATTATATACAACCATATTCTCTTGGTATTTATAACTATGACGCAAAATACAGTCATATTCAGTCATATATACAATCATATTCTCTTAGCATTTACAACTATGACTTTATATTATATACAACTATTTTCAATTAACGCAAATCGATCGTTAACAATCATAAAATATAATTACACTTTACAATATATATATATATATATATATATATATATATATATATATATATATATATATATATATATATATATATATATATATATATATATATATATATATATATATATATATATATATATATATATATATATATATATATATATATATATATATATATATATATATATATATATATATATATATATATATATATATATATATATATATATATATATATATATATATATATATATATATATATATATATATATATATATATATATATATATATATATATATATATATATGTATATGTATATACATTTATATATAATATAAATCAAACATAATATATAAAAAATATTATTTTCAGCTGAATCAGTTAAATATGTTAATAGAAAAATCAGATATTATCAATGTTTAATTAAACAAGTAGTATGATACTAAAATATGTCATTATTAAATATTTATTTTAACAATAGACGTCTTCACAGTTCCGATATTTTCATGCGCGCGTATATTTAATATACGTCATGGTACTTTATGCGCAGAATCGCATGAAAACAAATATATACTCATATAAATTAAGATAGTAACCTTGAAAGAAACAGTTGTTTACTTGAAATTTTTTTTATTTTTTTTTAAAAAAGACATTGATTTAGTTTAATATAAGTTTATTTTACCCGTTTTAAGTTTAAAATCTATTTGTACGTTGAGTGTAAAAGTGTACGTTGAGTGTAAAATTTGTACGTTGAGTGTAAAAGTGTAAAAGGCCGGCTGGTAGTAAGGTTTCCCGAACTCTGTGGTAGCTCTCAGAGAGGCTGATTTCATCAACAGCTGCAAAATATCAGAGTATTAACAGTGCCATGTTGCGCATGGATGGTGTCCCTGTTAATGCTTTTGGTGTGCATTGTCAAGGCCACATAAGGAGCCCTATGTCACGGCTTAGGGTTAATTAACAGGACTGAGACAACTGCATAGCTCATTGATTAGGAGGCTGTGCTCTATCTATGAATGAGTCAAGTTCTCATTAAATCCAAATCATGACCAAAGTAACCAAAAATTTAAAACCAAAAAAACCATCCCCACCACCTAAATATTTTAATATATCTTTTAAAATATTCGCGGTCTACGAAGCAACTTTCCATCAGTTCTCCTGCAAAATTCACCAGACTTGCTTGCACTCAGTGAAACAAATTTAAGTTCTGCAATTCCTTCTTCAGATGTCAGTGTTGATGGGTACTATCCTTTGATTCGTAAAGATTGCAATAGTCACATGCTAGGTTTAGGGGTATACATACGCATTAATTCCCCTATTTGTCGTGAAATCAGGTTCGAATCCTTTGACCATTCTTTTATGTGCTTTCGCCTAGCACCTCTACACTCTATCACCTTTCTCTTTGATCTTTATCGTTCTCCTTCTTCCCATGATTGCACTCTTTTAGATGTTATCTCTGATCAAATTGACCATGCCCTCTCTCTTTACCCCTCTGCCAATATTGTTGTTGTTGGTGATTTTAATGCCCATCACACTGAATGGCTTGGCTCTAACACCACTGATCCTGCTGGCACTAAAGCCTTTAACTTCTGCGTTTCTCAATCTCTTACTCAGATAGTTAACTTTGTGACTCGTTTTCCTGACAACCCTAATCATTTACCTTCACTCCTTGACTTATGTCTTGTCTCTGACCCTAGCTTATGTTCAGTTTCTCCCTTTTCTCCCTTAGGTGGTTCTGACCATGCAATGATCTCTATAAATCTTTCTTCTCGTACTTCTTTTTTGGGCTCACCTTATCATCGCACCACCTACTACTACCCTAAAGCTGACTGAGATTCCTTTCGTGATTTTCTTCGTGATGGTCCTTGGGCTGATGTTTTTTCTCTCTCAGCTGACAAATGTGCCTCCTCCGTAACCTCCTGGATTCAGGCTGGAATGGAAGCTTTTATTCCTTCTCGTCGGTTTCAAGTCAAGCCTCATTCTACTCCATGGTTTTCTCCTTCTTGTGCGGCTGCTATATCCAATCGTAACCATTTTTTTCATCTTTTTCAAAAGAACAACTCTCTTGAGAACAAACGGCTATTTATTATTGCAAGAAATCGATGTAAAAAGGTGCTTTCTGATGCTAAACTCCATTATTCTCAGTTCACTAAATCTCGCATCTTATCACAGAAGTTAGGCTCTAAAGACTTTTGGAAAATCTTCAACAGCATTGTTAACAAAGGTAGATCTAACATTCCATCTCTCATTCATGGGACTGATCTTGTTACCTCTCCCAGGGATAAGGCAGAACTGTTCCACTCTTGAATCTTATGGACATTCTCTTCCTTCCATTCCAGTCAAACAGGTTGACCCATTGTTAGACATTCAAATAACTCCGGCTTCTGTTGCTAAAGTCATATCTCAATTAAACTCGTCTACAGCTTGTGGTCCAGACAACATTCCTGTCACAGTCTTGCAGAATTGTTCTCCAGAACTTTCTTCAATTCTCTCTAAACTATTTAACAAGTGTTTGACTGAGTCTTGTTTTCCTGCTTGTT